AAAGAAAGAAAGAAAGAAAGAAAGAAAGAAAGAAAGAAAGAAAGAAAATAAATTTTAGACCTTAACCAGTCTAAAATGAGACAAACAGGAGATAAAAAGAGGTATGGAAAAGGACAAAAAGAAGGCATCGAGTGTTCTACCTATATGACACCAGTCATCCTAGACTAGCACAGAAGCCTGCCTCTCTTGTTTTCTCTGGCTCCTCCCAGATATTCCAACTACTGGGTATGTGTGATGTGGTAGGATAGGAGAGATCTGATCTGTAACCTGAGAAAAAAAGGAACTGTGAAAGGCTTATAACAGAGAATCAGTACAGAAGGAGATGACATTAGAATTGCCCCTCCTATCAGGGATCTTCCAGCCATAGGGATCTCCATATTATGACCTGGGGAATTCCCAGGGATACTATCATGAGCCCATATTCCAAGGGTCTAATATAATGTCAGGAATCTGAAAAAGGATGGTCCTGGGGGCTGGTCCATAAGTGTAAGCTTCATTTGCCAATTCTATCACAGAGATTAAGGGTGGCAGACACAGAAAACAAGTAGCCTTCAGAGTCTCCTCGTGGCTCTAATTAATCAACTCAACACCACATCTGAGGGCCCCTAGTGTCCAACATACCCTAATAGTGAACATGGTGACTCTCTCAGGTGCCTCAATGTTGTACCACACACACAGGCTGTTGCGGTTCTGAGCTACCAGCACATCACTTCCAGGGACCCACTGCACGTAGGAGCAGAAGTTGAGGATCATTATCTTAGAGCAGCTCTCAATATCATACAGATGCAACTGAAGAAAGAAGAGGCAGATAGCACAATTAGAAGAGAATGTGGGGTTGTCTCTTGCTTTTGACCATTTCCCTAATGGTGAGATGTGGTGAGCTAACCCACCACTCAGGTTCATGCAACATTTCAAAGCTTACTGACCTGCTGTCTGCTGAGGTGGTATATCCTAACTCTGGTCAAGTAAGAGATGACCCATAGAACAAAGATCTACATCCCAGGAATTTTAAGTTAGGTGAAGGTCAGACTTTCCTTCTTGGAAGAACTCTGGGCCAGAGTTACCAGCTTAGATTACAAATGGCAGGCCACTAGAAATATTAAATGATCCGGAAGTTTGTGATGTGGCTTTCACTGACATGAAAAATCACCAGGTTGTCTCTTTGACCTGAGGTTGAACACTGGTGCTACTATACTGGGATGAGAATCAGTGAGGGATGAAGAGGCTGTCCTCCAGCCAGTTCACGCCATTAGGTCAGTGTGGCTAAAAACCACTGGACAGCAGGTCTAGGTGAAGGTCAGCTAGGCATGAGGAGGAGGAATGCAGGGTTAAGGAAGTTTCATGAGGGCACGGACTGAATAGTTAGAGAGACCAACTCCCAAACTTCCCTAGACTTTGTTGCCATAATACAATTGCCTCTGAGGTAATATAGGATTGCCAGGTGCGGTGGCTCATGCCTGTAATCTCAGCACTTTGGAAGGCTGAGGCAGGCAGATCACCTGTGGTCAGGAGTTCAAGCCCGGCCTGGCCAACATGGTGAAATCCTGTCTCTACTAAAAATACAAAAATTAGCTAGGTGTGGTGGCACGCGCCTAGAGTCCCAGCTAGTGGGGAGGCTGAAGCAGGAGAATCGCTTGAACCTGGGAGGCAGAGGTTGCAGTGAGCTGCGATCTTACCACTGCACTCTATCCTGGGTGACAGAGTAAGACTCTGTCTCTAAAAAAAAAAAGAGGTAATAATGGATGGGTTTTGGTATCAGGTACAGAGAATGTTGATTCTTCTGTGCCTTCTGCTATGCTGATGACACAGCAAAGAAATTATGCCCCATTCTGCCTGCCTCAGTCCCTGGTGGCAGCTTGTCTCACACCCTCTATGGGCCAGCCAATGCCCAAGGCCTTAGTAACTCTTCTCACACGAAGTTTCCGGTCCCTGAAGAGGAGCTTATGTCCAGTCTCATTAAGTTCCAGCCAATCCACGCGGCTCTCATGGCTGACGGTGCCAATGTTGTAGCCACCAATCAGATCTACTATAGAATAAAAGAGACAGGTTAACATGAGAGATTGCACAGATGTACATAGTGTGGCCAACATACGTAATTTTGCTAGGATTCCTAGGGAGCTGGGTCTCTTTTAGAATTGTACAGGTTTTATTTAACTATGTTGTAACTCAAAAGGTCCAGACCTACTAAGAAATCTCTGGGACTTAGCGTTACCTCAGAGCAGATTAGAACTATTGATGAAGTGGCTGCTACTACTCACAGAATCCCCTCTAAGGCAGCACAGAGCACATTAAAGATAAGCCTGATACAACACAGCAGTGAAACAAGGCTGCTGAATCAATTACCTTGATGATCATATGCCCCAAGAAGCTACCTGCATATCTGAATGCCTATAGTGTAAGAGCACTACAGGGTGGATAGTGGGGAAGGCATGCAGACAAACTTCTGACTAAAGTTAGGCGAGTAACTGCAAAGGATGAATATTTTAGTTTGGTTTGAATCTTGTAGAAAATATAAGAAACTATCACATTTAGAGTAGACCGATTAGGGTTGGCTGGGATGCTTTCAGGAAGTCTCCTGATCAAAGCCCATTTATAAATTTTAGTGATATCTATTATTAATGAACAACATGCCTCACTTTGTTATATATGTGCTTAAGCTAATAACCAAATGTCCACGGTGTCTACAATTGCGAAGACCAATTTAAAAAACAATCTTCCTTTAAGTAAAAAAGTAGTATCAGCTGGGCATGGCGGCCCAAGCCTGTAATCTCAGCATTCTGGGAGGCCGAAGTGGGCGGATCACCTGAGATCAGGAGTTGGAGACCAGCCTGGCCAACATGGTGAAACCCTGTCTCTATCAAAAATACAAAAAAAAAAAAAAAAATTAGCTTGGTGTGGTGGTGAGCGCCTGTGGTCCCAGCTACTTGGGAGGCTGGGGCAAGAGAATTGTTTGAACCCAGGAGGCGGAGGTTGCAATGAGCCAAGATCATGCCACTGCACTCCAGCCTGGGTGACAGAGTGAGACTCTCAGGAAAAAAAAAAAGTAAAATGATAAAGCCATATTTTAATGCCCCAATTATAAGTGGAATCAGAGTTCTAGAGTGGCAAGGACCCTAATTCCTGAGAACCCTGAAATTATACACAAAATTATGTGTGTACAGTATATATTTTTCTCTGAGAAGGTCTACGATTTTAGATACTCCTGGTAACCCAAAAAAGTTAAGAGAAGAACTCTGTCTTTTTTTTCCAAGATGGAGTTTCATTCTTGTTGCCCAGGCTGGAGTGCAGTAGCACAATCTCGGCTCACTGCAACCTCCACTTTCTGGGTTCAAGTGATTCTCCTGCCTCAACCTCCCGAGTAGCTGGGATTATAGGCATCTGCCACCACACCTGGCTAATCTTTGTTTTTGTTTTTTGTTTTTTTTTTTGAGACAGAGTCTCACTCTGTCACCAGGCCGGAATTCAGTGGTGCGATCTCGGCTCACTGCAATCTCTGCCTCCCAGGTTCAAAGGATTCTCCTGCCTCAGCCTCTCAGCCTCCCGAGTAGCTGGGATTACAGGCATGCGCCACCATGGCCAGCTAATTTTTGTATTTTTAGTAGAGACGGGGTTTCACCGTGTTGGCCAGGATGGTCTCAACCTTTTGACCTCATGATCTGCCTGTGATCCCCCTTGGCCTCCCAATGTGCTGGGATTACAGGCATGAGCCACTGCGCCTGGCCCATCTTTGTATTTTTAGCAGAGACAGGGATTCACCAAGTTGGTCAGGCTGATCTTGAACTCCTGACCTCAGGTGATCCGCCCACCTTGGCCTCCCAAAGCACTGGGATTATAGGCATGAGCCACCATGCACGGCCTTGAACTCTGTCATTTTACATACATGAAAGTGAGACCTAAGAGTGAAGTTGCGTTTCCAAGTTCTCACAACTCATTATTGCTGCTGGAATCTTAGGCCTCTTGTTCTACATTATTGTTTTCATTATAGATCCCTACATTTCTGAGCTCAGAAACCTGATGTGAAATATAATATTCATGAAATGTACAAGTATTTTAAGAATAGCTCATATGTATATAAAAACTTGATTTATGACAGAGATTACATTACAAATTAGTGGGTGAAGAATTGACTTTCAACAATTGGTTAAACATATGGAAAATAAAATAAAATTAGATCCCTACCCACATTATACATAAAAACAAATTCCATGTGAAAAGCAAAATTTTAAAAATGTTAAAATACAGGAGGGAATAGGAAAGAATTTCTTAAATAAAACCTGAAAAATCAAAAACTTTTTTTTTTTTTTTTTTTTAGAGACGGAGTTGCACTCTCATCACCCAGGATGGTGTGCAGTCGCACAATCTCGGCTCACTGCAACCTATGCCTCCTGGGTTCAAGCGATTCTTCTGCCTCAGCCTCCCAAGTAGCTGGGATTACAGGCACCTTCCACCATGCCCAGCTAATTTTTGTATTTTTAGTAGAGACAGGGTTTCACCATGTTGGCCAGGCTGGTCTCGAACTCCTGAGATGACCTGCCCGCCTTGGCCTCCCAAAGTGCTCAGATTATAGGCGTAAGCCACCATGCCTGGCCTCAAACTATTTTTTTAAGTGATAAAATAGACTGTATTAAAGTGAAAATGTCTGAACAGTAAAAGATGCCCAAAAGGAGAGAAAAGATAAGCCACAAGTTGAGGCAAAAATACCTGCAATGCAAATAGCCACCAAAGTCTATACAAGCATATGGAAATAACTCCTTCAAATCAATCAGGAAGATACACTCTGATTTTAAAAATGGGTAAGAGATAGGAACTATAAATTTACAGAAGAAAAAATACAAATGGTCAATGTTATATACAAAATTAATATATTAGATTTAATATATATCATGTTTAAACCAAATTATGAAGTCAGGCAATTTCAAAGTATTACAGAAGATGTCGGACAATAGAAACTCTAACTGCTGGTGAGTAGAAGAGTATAAATTGGTATAACTTCTTTGGAGAACAATTTGGAAATATTTAGTGAAGTTGAAGACCCAGCTCCTCTATGATTTAGCAATTCCATTCTAGGTATGGAACTTAGAGAACTGAATCATTGTAATAGTGAAAAATCAGCAACTTAAATGCCCATCAACAAGAGAAAAGATATAAAATGATTCAAGGTAAATATAACAAAATGTCAGGATTTGACAGAACTGGGTATGGATAAACAAGTGATAATATGTTTTTTTGCTTTTTGGAGACGGAGTCTTGCTCTTTCACCAGACTGGAGTGCAGTGGCACAATCTTGAATCACTGCAACCTCTGCCTCCTAAGTTCAAGCGATTCTTCTGCCTCAGCCTCCTGAGTAGCTGGGACCACAGGTGCGTGCCACCATGCCCGGCTAATTTTTGTATTTTTAGTAGAGACGGGGTTTCACCATGTTGGCCAGGATGGTCTCGATAGCTTGACCTCATGATCTGCTCACCTCGGCCTCCCAAAGTGCTGGGATTCCAGGTGTGAGCCACTGCACCCAGACTGCTTTTTTTTTTTTTTTTAAGACTCAGTCTCTCTCTTGTCCGCCAGGCTAGAGTGCAATGGCGTGATCTCAGCTCACTGCAACCTCCGTCTCCCAGGTTCAAGTGATTCTCCTGCCTCAGCCTCCCAAGTAGCTGGGATTACAGGCACCTGCCAGCACACCTGGCTAATTTTTGTATTTTTAGTAGAGATGGGGTTTCATCATGTTGGCCAGGCTGTTCTTGAACTCCTGACCTCAGGTGATCCGCCAGCCTCAGCATCCCAAAGTGCTGGGATTACAGGTGTGAGCCACTGCATGCCGCCAATAATATCTTTTTTTTTTTTTTTTTTTTGAGACGGAGTCTCGATATGTTGCCAGGTGCCAGGCTGGAGCGCAGTGGCGCGATCTCGGCTCACTGCAACCTCCGCCTCCTGGGTTCAAGCAATTCTCCTGCCTCAGCCTCCCGAGTAGCTGGGACTATAGGCGCACACCATCATGCCCAGCTAATTTTTGTATTTTTAGTAGAAACGGGGTTTCACCATGTTGGCCAGGATGGTCTCAATCTCTTGACGTCATGATCCACCCGCCTCGGCCTCCCAAAGTGCTGGGATTACAGGCGTGAGCCACTGCGCCCAGCCGATAGTATCTTTTTTTAAAAAAAAATTGATTTTATTAATGGCATAAATCATTGATACTGTAGTAAAAAAAAATTGATTTTAAGTGGAAAGCTTCATAAATGTGTGTCATCCTTGCATGGGGCTGTGCTAATGTTCTCTGTGTCATTCCAATTTTAATATATGTGCTGCCAAAGAAAGCAAAATTTCATTATTATTAATAGCTAACACTTATTAAGTGCTTACCATGTACTGGGCACAATAAATGTATTTCATATGAAGTAGGTACTATTTTTATCCCTATTTTTTGGATGAGGAAATTGGGATATAGAAAGATGAAGTAACTTCCTAAGATCACACAGGTAGAGAAGTGGGATGGTTTGACTCCAGAGCCCCATTCTTTTTTTATTTTAATTTAATTTTTAAAAATAAAGACAGGGTCTCACTATGTTGCCTAGGCTTGTCGCAAACTCCTGAGCTCAAGCAACCCTCCTGTCTCAGCCTCCGGAAGCACTGGGATTACAGGCATGAGCCACTGTGCCTGGCCCAGAGCCCCATTTTCAACAGCTACATCGTATAGGTAATGCTATTCTCTATACTACTTTTATGCTTGAAACATTTCACGATAAAAATATCAACATATAAGATTTATAAATGTGAATATTTGTGAAATGAAAATAAAGTTTCTATCATTATTAGTTACTAATGATAAACTAACAAAAAATAAGACCTCTTCCAGTTCTAACAGTTTATGATTCTATGAAACCTAAACAGGAAAATTCATAAATTTAACAGGTCTTCTCTACTGCTCACAATTTGCCAACCCTAAGATACATGTCTAGAGAATATTAATAATTATATGGACCTTTGGATTTTTTTGTTTTTTTTTTTGTCTTTAAGAGAGAAGGTCTTACTCCATCATCTAGGCTGGAGTGCAATGGCACATTCACTGCAGCCTTGAACCACTGGGCTCAAATGATTCTCTTGCCTTGTCCTTCCAAAATGCTGGGATTACAAGCATGAGCAACTGTGCCTGGCCTGTACCTATGTATTTATATCTAGGTATCTAGGTACAGATGCACACATATTGATTTAAACATTTCATATATCCACTGTACGTGTGGGGTTACTATTTACCTGGTGCTTCTCAGATTCCCGCATTCCCCGTAGAACACAATCCTGTGGTATAAAAGTGTGATATAAACATCTATTTTGTTATTAAAATTATGAGAGAGTCTCACTCACCTATAGCAACAGTCTTAATATCAACAAGATAAGCCAATTTCTTATTATCTTCTGTTCCTTGTTGACACCTCTCATTAATACGAACACTGAAACATGAAGGGTGAGGTAAGGCAAAATGGGCTTA